CAACATCAAAACAAGAACAACAACAGTACAACTCAACACAGCTCAAGATGTAATATACTAATCACAAAGTAGAAAACATCAAGGCAAGGACAACAACAATAACCAAATACAACTCGAGGCGTATTCTACTGATCACAAAGTAGAATACCACTCGACATGCTCATCAGAAGAGGATAGACATTCACACATTGGCAACTACAAGCCACCACGTGAAACTACATGTCACATGTTCCAACCTTATGGATACCCCCGGCCTTATTACAGTTCCAACCATTACCTCCGAGAACCCCTGTACTTCTGAGTCCAACCTTATGCCTCCGGGAACCGTCGTTCCCCCGCCAACAACCACCAACATTTCCACCGATCTCTCAGTACACGAGGGTACCATTCATTTCAATCACACAACCGTCAACATATGAGCCTGAAGCCCAGATTACAACTACAATATCATTTCATGGCCACCACGAGGACCACATCTGTACCTTGGTGATTAATGTCCCATACCATTAACCGTGCAATCAAGGTACATCCAATACACACACTTTCATCACAGGAATCAATCAATGGATCACAACAAAGATATGAAACCATACCCAACAAGGATGGATTACAATCCGACTCCAAACGATGATCAACACAAGTTGTCATTCTCAAAAGGGAAGAACAAACCGCACACACTAGCATTTCAACATCAAACTAGCATGCGTATCAAATGGGTAAACTAAACATAGTTCCGAAGAACATACAAGACTCATCATGGTTCAACGAATCACAAAGTTGAACACTTAGCACGATTCAAGACGCCAAATCCTACATGGATTCCTAACATACCATTCTAGACATATGAAACATCAAGAAGACACTCAAATAGCCCAATAAAACAGCATCGGGAGGTCAAAACATCAATTACCGAGTCAAAAGAATCACGGGGAAAAAATCCCGAAACATCACCTAATATGTACCCCGCGGGTGGGGCCACGGGTGGACCTCCACCCGTGGTTCTGCCTGCGGGTACATCAACCCACAAGCTTGTTCCCCGCGGGTGGGGCGGCGGGTGGAGCTCTGCCCGCCGTTCCGCTCGCGGGTACCACTCTGTACACCAAAATATCCCTTCGGGGATTTTCAACAACAAGTCCAAAACACCCAAAATCTTACAAAATACAACAATACGACTTGAACCCAAGAAATAGCCAAGCCATGGCATACAAGAATCCTAATAACAAGCTCTAGATATGCATTACCACAAGACAATGCATCAAAACTCACATTTCCTAGCAAAAATAACAAGTAGAAGTCAAGAAATTATCAAATAGGTAAGAAAATAGATTTTGTAAAGCATGGTTTACATCTTGTAGCCTAAACCTTCACTTTTCACACCCTTAAAAAAGCATCTCCTAAAGCTCTCCTTCAACTTCAACTTCAAGAATACACCAAAAGACAACAAAGATTCTATCTTTTAGAAAAGACACCTAAAAAGATACTAAAAACACTAAGGGATCAAGGATCTTACCCTCCATTATGCTCAAGGTTAAGAAAGTTTGAATCTTGGAGACCAACTTGAAGAATCTAGGATTGCCCAAAACTTGGCTTGAAGAAGAAGCTAACAATTTTCTAGAGAGAAGGTGGAGCTTTTGTGTTTAGGGTGTTAGGGAAATGAAATGAAGGATGACAGTAATACCCCCGATTTCCATACCAAATTAAACCTTAAACATGCAGATATTTCTAACCATAAAAGCATAAACAGCGGAAGACTTAAGCATGAAATAGATGGAAAATGTAGAGTGTTATGCCACGCTCACACAGCGGTGAACGCACAGGCGTAAACATCTGCAACATAATCTATCAATCCCAAAAGCAAAGTCAACAACATAAGTCTAGAGCCAAATCAAAGGCACGCAGGCCCAAACCATCACAAGGGAAAGGAATCTACGCTAACTGCCTCTAGACCGCGCTCTCATCTACTCAGCACCTGAAAGATACACATAGATATACGGGACGACGCCCGGTTAGCGAATGATGCTGGTAACCCACCAATACATGTGAAATATCATATGTAGATAGTTTATATATATACAAAATCATTTGCGAAACGGGATATAATATATATCAATTTCAAAGCCAAGATAGAAGTCAAACACAAGATTCTTTGTACTCACATAAAGATAAGGGAACACATCCCAATACAACAAGAAGTAATAACGACTCACAAGAACGGCTCAAGGCATAATCTACCATCACACAGTAGATTAACACCCGACATGCATAACAAAAGAGAATAAGGACACGACCATTGGCGACTCATGCGTTGGCAACGCATGCCTTTGTGACAACACATGTCACAAATAGAGAAATACACAACAACGGCTACACAAGCCTTCGTGACATCATCCATCACGAATTGAGATGCCTTCCTTATGCCCAGTTCCAACCTTATGGCTACCCCCAACCTTATGTCTAGTTCCAACCTTTACATCCAGGACCCCTGTACACAAAGTCCAACCTTTTCCCTACGAGGACCATCGTCCCCATCCGCCAACGACCGCCAACAAATCCACCAATTTCAGAGTACACGAGGGTACCGATCACACACATGGCAACACATGCCTCCCAAGAAATACGTGAACCTGACACACAGGTCACAAACTCCATAATCACGTCATTGCCACCACGAGGACCAGTGTCGCACCTTGGTGACTAATGTCCCATACCATTAATCGTGCAATCCAGGTACAGCTACACGCACTACACCACAATAGGAATCAAGCAACGGATCACAACGAAGATATGAAACCATACTCAATCAAGGAATGGATCACAGTCCAACAACAACGATGATTAACACAAGCCATCATCAACAATAAGAAAGGACAAACAACACACACGCTAGCATTTAAACACCGAACTAGCATGCTTATCAAACGGGTAAACCAAACATAGTTCCGAAGAACACACAAGACCCATCATAGTTCAACGAATCATAATGTTGAACACTTAGCACGATTCAAGACACCAAAATCTACATGGATTCCTACCATATAGTTCTAGACATACGAAACATCAAGAAGACACTCAAATAGTTTCAGAAAAGAACATCGGGAAGTCAAAAGACCAAATACCGAGTCAAAAGGATCACGGGGAACAAATCCCCGCCCAAGTCCACTTTGTACCTCGCGGGTGGGCCTCCACCCGCGGGAACCACTCCCACGAACCACCTGTACCCCACGGGTGGGGCGGCGGGTGGTGCACTACCCGCCGTTCCACCTGCGGGTACATCACCTGTACCAAAATAATCCCTTCGGGGATTTTCAACTCCAAGCACAAATTCAAGTCCAAAACATGCCAAATCTCACCAAATACAACAAAATGACTTGAATCAAAGGAATAGCCAAGCAATGGCATACATGAACCCTAATAACAAGCTCTAAATATGTATTTTCACAAGACAATGCATCAACACTCACATTTCATAGCAAAATCACATGTAGAATCTAATAAATCATCATATAGGTAAGCAAAATAGATTTTGTAGAGCATGTGTTATCTCTTGTAGATAAAAACCTTCACTGAACACTTCCCAAAGCTTCTAACAAGGTTCACCTTCCTCACCCACTTCAAGAACACGCCAAAAGATCATAAAGATTCTATCTTTAAGGAAAGACACCTTAGAAAACACTAAAAACACAAAATAAACATATATCTTACCCTCCTAGATGCTCAAAGGTAGGAAATGTGGAATCTTGAAGACAAACTTTGAAGATTTGGTAAAGCTCCAACTTGGCTTGGAAGAAAAGCTATCTAACTTTTAGAGAGGAGGAGCTCAAGTTTATAAAGTGTAAAGGAAAGAATGAAGGGTGTCTTCTAGGTTAGCTTGCAATACTAACATAAGGTGAAATGTCTTTATTACCCTTACTAAAATGAAGAGGTGTAAGGGAACAGGGGAACTACTCACAAAGCTTTAGGTACACCACTTGACTTTGGGTTGACTAGTCAATTACTAGTCCCTGACTATTGAATTTTCAGGAATTTAAGGAATTAAATAATCAATTGGATTAGTATTAATTACTTAATTAATCCCTTAATTGAATTTGGATTACGGTTGTCACATCCTCTCCCCCTTTAAAGAAGCTTCGTCCCCGAAGCTTGGGTACGACGAATTAGATCAAACGATGTAATGAAACAACAATGTGACAAGAGTGTCAAGACTATACTTATTTTGTTCAAAGTTCAATGGATTCAAAAAGGTACCAAACATAAGCAAAAATCATGTCATCCAAGAGTTGGAAAGAAATAATCATCCGAGATAATGAGCATAACAACCTCTAAGCCAAGCACAACCACCGACTTCTATTCAACCACCAAAGGTCTAACCCTCTAACTCTTAACACAAACCACTAAACCAACAACCAACCAAACAAGCAAGCAAAACGAACACACGAAGCAAACCACAACAACTAGCAACGGTAGCAACAACTAAAGGATAACACAAGCTAAGGAAAAGGGTGAACGGGGTTACCACAACATCGCGCTAAAATGATTCGCTCTCCGATTCATCGGTGCCCTCCTCGGACTCCTCGTCATCTCTTCCCCTTCGGCTTGAGCTGGCCTCGATCTGATCTAACCTCTGGTGAGCTGCTACAAACTACGTCTTCATAAAAGCGAAACCTGCTTCGATCATCTGGTTCTGTTGACGTAGAAGGGTGACCACACGCTCCTCGTGCGTCATAGCATCATGCTCCCTCTTGGTTCGGGCTTCCCTTCTTCTTCGGTTCTCCTCGCTTTCCGGGTCACTTTCGTCAACTTCGGCAGCTTCCCCCACCTCGGTTTCCTCTTCTTGACCTATTTCTTCTTCATCCCCTACATCACCTCCTAGGCTCTGAACGACGAGGTTCAACTTTCCAACAGGGATCTCGAGATCTGTAACCAACTCATCTCTTTCCTCGGGAGACTTCCTAGCAACTTCGTCCAGAGTGATATAACTACCGTCATCCAGCTGGAACAAGTTGTAGTTCCGAAGATTAATGGCATCCAGCACCATTTTTCCTATGGGCTTCGACATACAACCATCCACGCTCACACCCTTCTTGACAAAAATCCAGCTCAACACCATGCCATACGGTAGGCTTTTTCGATTGTGATCACAAAAGACCATATGTTGCCACATTAAAGCCGACAGATTGAACTTCACCATGTTCTTAATGCAAAAAGCAAAGGTGCAATCCAACTTCCCCAACAACCGACTTTTATTGTTATTTGGCAACAAACAATCTGACACAAGCATAACCAAAATACTTTGCTCGGCGGACAACCACTTCTTCTCCGGTCTCGAAGCTTGTGTGAAACCACTCGTGCGACCCAACAAATAACTCAAATAGTCCCGGTACCCCATGGTATCCGTACTAATCCACAATTTACCACTGTACTAAGCAACTCCCGAAGCAGAAAAACTCAGAACCTGAGCTAGCCTCTTTTCTGACAAAATCACTTTCACACCCCTCACTTTGGAGGTGATTTCAAGCTTCCCTCCATCATTTGTCACAACCATGCAACGGTAAAACTCTTTAACCAAGCTGGGGTATGTCTCGGCCCTTATGGCGAGAAACCCATCTAACAAGCCTTGATATCTAAGCATATCCAATAAGGAACTAGGGAAAGATTCCGGGTCAAAAGCTTTACCTTCAAGAACGAGATAATGGGCATCCACCCATTCCGCTTTCCTTGCCAAACTTGATCTTCTAGGCATGATTGAAGATGACCCAAGGCTCAACAAAAGGAACCCAAAGCTTTCCTCTTCTTTTCTTCTTATTCTTCTCGCTGCTCTCTATTGATGTTCTCTCTCTCTCTCTCTCGCGTCGGCCCAGCGGCGGTGAGAAGCTCCGGCAGGCGGCGGCGGTAGCTCGCTCGGCGACGGGGACAAGGGCGATGGGTGGTGGGGGTCTCAATTGGTACTCACGGGTGGGGAGGGAAGAAGAGAAAAATCAAGCATTTGGGATTTGGAGAAAAAAATTAGGAAAGAAGATGATTTAATTTGGGAATTGGGGTAAAAATTGAAATTATGGTTTAGATGGAATTTAAAATTGGATAGGTTTCAAGAAGTATAATTAGCTCAAATGGTTAGAGGGTTGGGTTGACAAGGGATACACCCGAGTTCAAAAACCAAGGCTTGTAATTAAAAGGTATTTGGTCTTTTAGGCTTCACAAGGAAGGATTTTATGGATTTTTCTATTCCAAATTCAAAGAACACTTGGAGAAATTTAGGCGATTCACAAGAAGGAAAGTTTGCAAATTATACATGTGCAAAGATTATGAAATTACTCGAATATGGCTCATTTTAGGGTAAACAACTACCTCTATGAAAGGCTCACACTTAACACTAAAAGAATTATTCATCAAGAGGAAAACATGAAAGGATAACAAGGCAACTCAAACAGACAACGAAGGAAACAAGACAACACACGAAGGCAACAAGGAACAAGATGCGTCCTAAAGACAAGGGTAGGCTAGGAAAAAGATTACCTCCTGCTGCTCCTCCGGCTACACAAGCCTTCGTGACAAGCCTTCGTGACATCACCCATCACGAATTGAGATGCCTTCCTTATACCCGGTTCAAACCTTATGGCTACCCCAAACCTTATGTCTAGTTCCAACCTTTACCTCCAGGACCCCTGTACACAAAGTCCAACCTTTTCCCTCCGAGGACCGTCGTCCCCATCTGCCAACGACCGCCAACAAATCCACCAATTTCATAATACGTGAACCTGACACACAGGTCACAAACTCAATAATCACGTCATGCCCACCACGAGGACCACTGCCGTACCTAGGTGACTAATCTCCCATACCATTAATCGTGCAATCCAGGTACAACCATACACACCACACCACAATAGGAATCAAGCAACGGATCACAACGAAGATATGAAACCATACTCAATCAAGGAATGGATCACAGTCCAACAACAACGATGATTACCACAAGTCATCATCAACAATAAGAAAGGAAACACAACACACATGCTAGCATTTAAACACTGAACTAGCATGCTTATCAAACGGGTAAACCAAACATAGTTCCGAAGAACACACAAGACTCATCATTGTTCAAACAGGTAAACCAAACATAGTTCCGAAGAACACACAAGACTCATCATAGTTCAACGAATCACAATGTTGAACACTTAGCACAATTCAAGACACCAAAACCTACATGGATTCCTACCATATAGTTCTAGACATACGAAACATCAAGAAGACACTCAAATAGTTCCACAAAAGAACATCGGGAAGTCAAAAGACCAAATACCGAGTCAAAAGGATCACGGGGAACAAATCCCCGCCCAAGTCCACTTTGTACGCCGCGGGTGGGCCTCCACCCGTGGTTTCGCCCGCGGGAACCACTCCCATGAACCACCTGTACCCCGCGGGCGGGTCGGCGGGTGGTGCACTACCCGCCGTTCCGCCCGCGGGTACATCACTTGTACCAAAATAATCCCTTCGGGGATTTTCAACTCCAAGATCAAATTCAAGTCCAAAACATGCCAAATCTCACCAAATACAATAAAAAGACTTGAATTGTAACACCCCCCAAACAAGACCTATATAAAAGCCTTAACACAAGCAGATTAAGCGACAAAACTAGCACATCGGAATATAAAAACGAAACTGGATAAAAGGAAATCCAACGGAGTGTCACGCCACGTCTACCAAACACGGTAAACGCTACGGCAAACAATCTGCAAGTGTGTACATCTATCCCAAAACATCAATCTAACTACATCGGTGCACAGGCCAAAAAAACAAGGATAAAGGTGCTAAGCTACCAGGCTCTAGACATCGCGCTCGTCTAAACATCACCTGAAAGATACAGAGATAAACATTGGGACGACGCCCGGTCAGCGAATAATGCTGGTAACCCACCAATACCGTTAAGTATCATAAATAGATAGATATAAGTCATAAAAACCATTTTCGAAACGGAATACATATATATAAGTCAAAACCAAGATCAACTGTCAACACAAGACTCATCACTCTCAAGGATAACACGGGAACACATCCCAAACCACAAAGGTTAACCACACGCAAGGATAAAGACTCACCCAACGGTAACACATGCCACAACAACACAAGCCTCCGTGACTACACGCGTCACGAGAGAAGATCACACAACGCCGGCTTTACAAGCCCTCGCAACATCACCCATCACGAGTTGGTATGCCTTCCTTATGCCCTGTTCCAACCTTATGGCTACCCCCAACCTTGTACCTTCTTTTCCAACCATTACCTCCAAGAACCCCTGTACTTCTTAGTCCAACCTTATTCCCCCGGGGCCGTCGTCCCCCACCAACAACCACCAACGAACACCACCAATCACGGCAACACATGCCCGGATAACACATGTTATCCCCCAAAAACGTGGAGCCATCACTCAGGCCACAACTCCATAATCACGTCCCGGCCACCACGAGGACCGCTGCAATACCTTGGTGACTAGTGTCCCATACCACTAATCGTGCAATCCAGGTAGAGCCACACACGCACCACCACTCACACGAGAGTCAAACAACGGATCACAACGAAGGTATGAAACATACTCAATCAAGGAACGGGTCACAGCCCAACGATAACAACGATGAATAACACAAGTTAACATCAACCAAACGGAAGGTACAAACAACACACACGCTAGCATTAAGACAACAAACTAGCATGCTTATCAACGGGGAAACTCAAGATAGTTCCGAGGAACACACAAGACACCTCTTGGTCCAACGAAACACAATGTTGAACACTTACCACGATACAAGACACCAAAGTCCTACATGGATACCTACCATATAGTTCTAGACATATGAAACATCAAGAAGACACTCAAATAGTTCCACAAAAGAACATCGGGAAGCCAAAAGACCAAATACCGAGTCAAACAAATCACGGGGAACAAATCTCGATCCAACTCCACTCGTGTACCCGCGGGTGGACCCACGGGTAGTGCCCCACCCGTGGTCCCGCCCGCGGGAACACTATCCCACAGGCTATGTACCCGCGGGTAGGCCGGCAGGTGGTGCCCCGCCCGTCATTCCGCCCGCGGGAACATCCCTGTTCCACAACAAATTCCTTCGGGGATTTTCTTCTCCAAACACAAATTCAAGTCCAAAACATGCCAAATCTCACCAAACACAACAAAATGACTTGAACCATGGAAAATGCCAAGCAATCGCACAAAGAAACCCTAAACACAATCTCTAGATATGCAATATCACAAGACAATTGCATAAACCCTCACATTTCATAGCAAAGCAGATGTAGAATCCAAAAAATCACATATACGTAAGCAAAATAGGTTTTGTAGAGCATGGGTTACCTCTTGAAGACCAAAAGACTTCACTTTACACCACAACAAGCTCTCCAGAAGGCTTACTTTCCAAACCCACTTCAAGATCAAACCAAAAGATCATAAATATCCTACCTTTAAGAAAAAGACAACTAAGATGGAACCAAAAACACAAGATGAACTTAGATCTTACCCTCCTAGATGCCCAAATAGGTGAAAGGTTGAATCTTGGAAGCAAATCTTGGAATCTTGACAAGGGTCTCAACTTGGCTTGGAGAATAAGCTACACTTCTTTTCTAGAGAGAAGGTAGAACTGTTTTTCTAAGAATTGTAGGGAATGAAATGAAGAAGTCTTCTAGGTTAGGTTACAATACTAACCCTTAGAAATTGTAAGGAACAAGGGAACTCCCCTCAAAGCACAAGGTACAACACAACTTAAAGGTTGACTAGTCAAATTCTAGTCCTTGAGTATTAAAAATCAGGATTTTAGGAATTAATTCCTCAAATAAAAAGAGGATTAATTACTCAATTAATCCATGGATTGAATGTGGATTTTTGGGGTGTCACATGAATCAAAGGAATAGCCAAGCAATGGCAAACTTGAACCCTAATAACAAGCTCTAAATATGTATTTTCACAAGACAATGCATCAACACTCACATTTCATTGCAAAATCACATGTAGAATCCAATAAATCATCATATAGGTAAGCAAAATAGATTTTGTAGAGCATGGGTTACCTCTTGTAGACAAAAACCTTCACTTAATACTTCCCAAAGCTTCTAACAAGGTTCACCTTCCTCACGCACTTCAAGAACACACCAAAAGATCATAAAGATTCTATCTTTAAGGAAAGATACCTTAGAAAACACTAAAAACACAAAATAAACATAGATCTTACCCTCCTAGATGCTCAAAGGTAGGAAAGGTGGAATCTTGAAGACAAACTTTGAAGATTTGGTAAAGCTCCAACTTGGCTTGGAAGAAAAGCTATCTAACTTTAAGAGAGAAGGAGGAGCTCAAGTTTAGAAAGTGTAAAGGAAAGAATGAAGGGTGTCTTCTAGGTTAGCTTGCAATTCTAACATAAGGTGAAATGTCTTTATTACCCTTACTAAAATGAAGAGGTGTAAGGGAACAAGGGAACTACTCACAAAGCTTTAGGTACAACACTTGACTTTGGGTTGACTAGTCAACTACTAGTCCCCGACTATTGAATTTTTAGGAATTTAAGGAATTAAATTATCAATTGGATTATGATTAATTACTTAATTAATCCCTTAATTGAATTTGGATTACGGGGTGTCACAATGACTCTAGGTTAGCTTGGGGCACAAACATAAGGTGTCAAGACTTCTTTCCCTTACTAAAGTGGGAAGAGTAAGGAGACAAGGGAACAATTCATAAGGCATAGAGTACAACCCTTTGACTTGGATTGACAAGTCAATTTCTAGTCCTCCGACTATTGCATTTTTAGGATTTTAGGAATAAATTACCAATTAAGCTAGGATTAATTATCTAATTAATCCTTAAATAGATTTTAGATTTACGGGGTGTCACATCCTCTCCCCCTTAAAAGAAGCTTCATCCCCGAAGCTTGGGTATGACGAATCCAAACAAAACAGCAACATGAAACAACAATGTGACAAGAGGAGCAAGAACATCTATTGACCAAAATTCAAAAATTCCCAATGGTATAAAATTATCAAGAAGTCATAGCATTGCAAGAAGTTACTAACAAAATTCCTTGAGCACAAGAAACACTTAAGGCCAAAACTCAACGACCAAAGCCTTCTAAACAACACTAGAGTTCTAAAAAACTAGATACTAGTAAAACAACCCACAAAACTAACTACTCTAACACAACTAACAAAACAAGAAAGATCACACAAGGCAACAACAAAACAACTAGCAAACGACAACAACATAACTGTAATACCCCGTGTTACGGCCCCTAAACCGATTAATTATTTAAACCTTTACCCAAAAGAAAAGAATTAAATTTTATTAATTAATTAGGAAGAGTCCACCATAAGCCCATGGGTCCTTATCCCTAAATCTACCTATAGGAAATAGAATTAGCTAAGTCCATACCATTAAGATCCTAAATAGGACGCTTAGATATATAAATAGGGACATAAGAGGCACCTAGAACTCACACCACAAATAATCTCTCACCACACAAGAAGTTCCAAGAATTCCCTTAGGAGAAATCAAGAAAGGAGAAATCTTAAAGAAAGACCCTTCATAGCCAAGGAAATTAATTAAGGCTAAGAGGTAACCCATGTCTCAACAAAACCTATTTTCTTCGCTACAATCTCCTTCTTAGGCCTCCCTCTATATTCATGTGTCTTGATAAATTCTTCTATGTTAAATTGTTAATTATGTTATGTTCTTGATGATTGATAAGATGATCTATGTGCATTCTTGATAATCTTGATGATCTTGATGTTGAAACGAAGTTCTTGATATTGATGTGATAATCCTTGACAAATCTTGATATTTATTGATGTTAAAGATAAAATATGATCTTGATGATTTGGGTGGGATTAGAGCCCTAGGATGGATTGGGAATTTGTATTGTAATGTTCTTGATATTGGGTGGGAATTCGCATGTTCAGGTGTTGTTTATGTTTAGAAGTCGTGATAGGATGAGTTATACATGATTCTTGATTTTGATCCATTAATTGATTACGTGGTGTCGTTAATTGCGTTTAAAAGTGTCTAAGCATGGTTTCGGGTTCCACAAAGGATCCCGGGATGAATTTGTTATGAAAGAGTCAGTGGGGGGTAGGTGGGGGTAGGGGTACCCGGCACCTACCCGCTGCCCGAAGATCACCACCGGGCAGCGGGCAGGCGCCGGGCAGGCATCTGCCCGCCGGCAACCGCCTGCCGGGCAGTGATCTCCGGCGGGCAACCGGCGGATGACCCCCACCCATCGGCTACCCGCTGGTCCGTACCCCACCCCGTGTCTTTGGCTTCCCCATTTGATGTTCCTCGCTCCCCCATGGTGTCCCAATGGACCCCGTTTGTCGTGCTTGAGTCTAGTTTAATATTTCGGGTACCATTCGTAGGATAAATGAGTCTTAGGAATTGCATGCTAGTGGAATTGGTAACCCGTCAACCTAGGTGGAATTGGTAACCCGTCAACCTAGGAATGTGAATGACCACACGTAAGTTTATTTATATATCTTTCCCCTCCCAATATGCTATTACGTCCTCCTATGTGTTATGTGTTGCATGATCCCCCATTTTGGTTACAGACCAATTCGGTGATTCCCGGACTAAGGTTCAGAAGTCGGCTGTAGGCCGAATGGATTCTTCCCGGACTAAAGGATCGGAAGTGGCTGAAGGCCAAATGGATTGTTCCTGAGCTAAGGTTCAGAAGTTGGCTAAAGGCCGAATTGATTCACTTCTCGGGCTGCGGTCCACATGGGCCTCGGTGCTATGACCCACCGACCTAGACGCGCCAGGCGGTGTGTAGGGCCAATAAGCTTAGGAAGGCTGTATTCCACCAACCTGAGTAATCAGGCGGTGTGTAGGGCTACGGCTCGCTGCGTTACAGACCAATTGGGTGATTCCCGGACTAAGGTTCAGAAGTCGGCTGAAGGCCGAATGGATTCTTCCCAGACTAAAGGTTGGGAACTGGCTGAAGGCCAAATGTATTGTTCCTGAGCTAAGGCTCAGAAGTTGGCTAAAGGCCGAATTGATTCACTTCTTGGGCTGCGGTCCACATGGGCCTCGGTGCTATGACCCACCGACCTAGACGCGCTAGGCGGTGTGTAGGGCCAATAAGCTGAGGAAAGCTGTAGTCCACCGACCAGAGTAATCAGGCGGTGTGTAGGGCTACGGCTGGCTGCGATCCACCGAGTGATGGGACAGCGGTGTGCAGGGCCGTAATCTCCGACGATCTTTGCCCACCGACTAAGTCTAGCTTAGCAGTGTGTCGGGCTTGATCCGCTACGGTCCACCGACTGTACACATCAACGGTGTGTAGGGTCCTAAGTCCCCCCTTGTAAAGGGGATCACGGTCCACCGACTGTGCGCGTCAGCGGTGTGTCGGATTGTGGTCCGACGTTGAGATCGTCAGTGGTCCTCTATGGGTTGGTTGCGATCAACTCCCTTCATGCTGCGGTATGAGGTAGGGTGTTTTGGGGCCGTGTTAATGCTATACGCATTAACCCTCATGTTCGGGGCGTGCGATTGGTCCCGTGGCGCCAAAGCAGTGTGATTGAGTGTCACAAATGATGATTGAATGATGATTAAATGATGACATGATTGATGTGGACATAGACTGTGACCTTAGTTGCGTATTCTTTATGATGATTCTACTCTATTATCATTAATTATGGTGCTTACCCCTATTTGCTGTGTCCATTCCTGGTTTTAAAACTAGAGTCTCTTAAGTATATATCTTTCTTCTTCGAAATGATTTTCATATATCTATATATATCTATCTATAATATATATTTCAATGCGTTGGAGTGGGTTACCAGCATCTCTCGCTGAACAGATATATTTGGCTTTCAGGCACAGCTGAGTAGACACCGGAGCGCGCTAGAGACCTGAAGCGTAGAGTAGTTAGTTTCCCCTTTTCGGCCTGCGTGCCATGTTTATGTACTGACTTTACTTTGAGGATTTTAGTTAGTTGCCTGTGCACCTGAGCTCTTTAACTCAGGTGTGGCATAACACCCCGTACTCTTATGTTTACTTTGGGACTTAATGAGAAATTACCTTTGTTATATAAGTTTTAAAAGTTTCAAAATTTCAGGGTGTTACAATAACGATAACACCAAACGAGAAAAGGGAGACGAGATTACCACAACTCCGCACTAGAAAGACTCGCTCTCCGACTCCTCGGCGTCTTCGTCGGACTCTTCATCGGCTCTCCCTCGGCTAGAACTGGCCTCTAGCTGATCCAACCTTTGGTTGACCACGACAAACTGTGTTTTCATGTAGGCGAAGCCTTCCTCTATCATTCTGTTCTATTGTCGAAGAAGGGTGACCACACACTCTTTGTGAATCATGGCGTCCTGTTCCCTCTTGGTTCTGGCTTCCGTCCTTCTTAGGTTTTCTTCACTCTCCGAGTCGCTCTCCTCGACTTCAGCAGCTTCTCCTACATCCGCATCCTCCTCTTGGTCTTCTTCTTCATCATTCCCCGCACCTCCTCTTAAGCTCCGAACTGCGAGGTTCAACTTCCCAACGGGAATCTCAAGCTCAACAACCAACGCGTCTCTCTCATCGGGGGTTTTCCTGACGACATCCTCAAGCGTGATGTACTCTCCGTCATCCATCTGAAACAGATTGCAACTCCGCAGGTTGGTGGCATCCAACACCTCTTTGCCCACTGGCTTCGGTACACAGCCGTCATCACTTATTCCTTTTCTAACGAAGATCCAACTCAAAACCATACCATACGGTAGATTCTTTCGATTATGATCTCGGTAAAAGATAATATGATGCAACATTAAGGTAGGCAGATTGAACTTCACCATGTTCTTTAAGCAAAAGGCAAACGTGCACTCCAACTTCCCAAACAGACGACTCTTGTTGTTATTTGGCAGCAAACAGCCCGATACAAGCATAACCAAGATTCTTTGTTCAGTAGTCAACCATTTCCTTTCCGGTCTCGTGGCTTGGGTAAAACCATTAGTCCGACCCAATAATAAATCAAATAATCTCGATAACCCATGGTATCCGTCTCAAGCCAAGAGTTACCACTGTACTGCGAAACTCCCGTAGTGGTCAGACTCAAGAGCTGAGCTAGCCTCTTTTCGGACAATACAACCTTCACACCTCTCACCTTAGAGGTAACCTCTAACTTTCCACCATCCTTAGTTACAACTATGTGACGGTAGAATTCCTTCACCAAACTCGGGTAAGTCTCGGCCCTAATGGCGAGAAACCCATCCAACAGACCTTGATATCTCAACATCTCTAACAAGGAACTTGAAAAAGAATCAGGATCAAAGGTTTTACCTTCCAACACGAGGTAGTGGGTATCCACCCATTCCACTCTTCTTTTCAAGCTAGACCTCCTGGGCATGATTTTGAGATGACCCAAAGACTCAAGGTAGACCAAAAACTCTTCTCTTTCTTTCTTTTCTTCTCTCCCTCTTTTCTCTCTCTCTCGCTGCTTCTCGGTGACACCGTAGCAGACACGGCAACGACGACGGTCAGCTTTGGTCGGCGGCGATGGCGGTCTGCTTCGCACGACGGCTGGTCGGCGTCGGCAGGGGGGTGGCGACGGGAAGGGAGCTGCTCAGGGGGTTTACGGGTGGAAGAAGGAAGAAGGGGAAAGGGTTTGGGAATTTGGGAAAAATTGGGAAAGAGAAGGTTTTAATTTGGGGATTTTTGGGTAAAATGAGAAATTATAGGTTAAATGGAATTTAAGTGGGGTAAGGTTCAATAAACATAACTAGTTCAAGTGGTTCAAGTGTGACACCCATATTTTCCTAAAATAAACTATAGTTCCGATATTAAATATTTTAATAAAAATATTTATATAATTATTTGTACTAAATATTTCAAGCCCCCAAAATGGTTTTAATCCCTAAGGCCTAATAATTATTCTTTGAGCCCAAGTGTTTATTTATCCTAAGACTATATAATATATGAGTCTTGAACCCATTTAGTCAAACCCATATGTTTGTATAAAAACAAATTTTATTATTTTGTATGCCCCAAAATATATATGTATTTATGGTTCTTGACCCAAGAGACTTAGACCAACGCAATCATTGTTTAACCCTACCATCTCTAGTGTGTATGTGTGTATTGTATCACTTCTCTTCCAAGTCTAAACCTTCGGCCGAGACTTCTTCTTCTCTTGCCTTCTCGAACGTCACAACGTGAACCTGAGACCTTGGAGGTCACCTCCTCCGTCCAAGCAAGCCGATCACCCATTTTCCCTTCACTTCGTTCGTCGACACCTTTTCCTCGTTCCTGCAGAAGCAGAGCAGTTGTGACGGTTGGGTGAGGTGGCGTTGGTGGAGCTCGGCAGTAGGCGTGGCAGTGACCTCGAGAGTGGTCTTCTCCGGCGAGCTCGGTCGGCTGTGATGGCAGTCTCGGTAGTCTCTCGACACAAACAGAGTTCCGGCAGCAGCTTTGTTGGTGTATGGAGCTTCTCGACGTTTCTCTTCTCGTCGACGGCGGCGGAGCTTCGGACAGCAGCAATGACCGTGATGCAGGGTGGTGGTTGTCCATGGCATCTTCGGCAGAGGCGGATCACAGCAATGGTGGCACCTCCTCCTTTCACGGCGAGTTTTGGGGCCCAGTGAAGCAGAGTAGGCACGGGCAGTGGCACGGGCGGATGGTGTCTTGGCGTTCCACCCGCGGGTTCGTCTGCATGAAGAAGAAGAAGATGGCAGATGGTGAGCTACATTCTTTGTTTTGTTGTTTAGTTTAGTACTAGATTAGTTTTTGTTAAGTAAGAGTTAATAAGTGTGTCTTTGGCTTAGTGGTTAGAGGGGTGGTTATGTTTGTTGGCTTGAGATCGATCCTTACCTTAGATAATTAGTTTTTTTGTGATTAGCTTTGTCTTATGAGCTTGATTATTAGCTTAATAATTATTGTTGTTGCCTAGTTTTCATTATGATGTTTAGGTTAGATGGTTAAGGGTGTGGTTAATTTTAAGAGGGACTAGGGTTCAAATCTCTTTATAAGCCTAGTTAGTTTTGTTTACTGTTTTATTTTTAAAGTAAAGGAAAGGTTTGATTCACAGGTTCCCGGTAGCTTGGCTTTGTTAGTTGAGCCTAAGTTTGCCGTTGTTTTTGGATGGTTAAGCGAATGAGGTAACCCATGCTTTACAAAATATATTTTCTTACCTATATGATGATTTCTTGACTTCTACTTGTGATTTTTGCAATGAAATGTGAGATTTGATGCATTGTCTTGTGAGAATGCATATCTAGAGCTTGTTATTAGGGTTCTTGTATGCAACTGCTGGGCTATTTCTTGGATTCAAGTCATATTGTTGTATTTTGTGAGATTTTGGGTGTTTTGGACTTGAATTTGGACTTGTTGTTGAAAATCCCCGAAGGGATTATTTTTGGTACAAGTTGGTACCCGCGGGCGGAACGGCGGGCAGAGCTCCACCCGCCGCCCCACCCGCGGGGTACAGGCCCTTGGGTGAACGCTACCCGCGGGCGGAACCATGGGTGGTGGTCCACCCGTGGCCCCACCCGGGGGTACACTTTGGTGTTGTTTGGGGATTTGTTCCCCGTGGCCCCACCCGCGGGGTACACTTTGGTGTTGTTTGGGGATTTGTTCCCCGTGGCCCCACCCGCGTGGTACACTTTGGTGTTTTTTGGGGATTTGTTTTGACTTCCCGATGTTATTTTGTTGGGCTATTTGAGTGTCTTCTTGATGTTTTGTAGGTTTAGAACTGTATGTTGTGACCCCATGTAGGATTTGGTGTCTTGAATCGTGCTAAGTGTTCAACTTTGTGATTCGTTGAACCATGATGAGTCTTGTATGTTCTTCGGAACTATGTTTGGTTTACCCGTTTGAGAAGCAGGCTAGTTTGATGTTGAAATGCTAGTGTGTGTGGTTTGTTCTTCCATATTTGTGGATGACAACTTGTGTTGATCATCGTTGGAGTCGGATTGTAATCCTTCCTTGTTGAGTATAGTTTCATATCTTTGTTGTGATCCATTGATTGATTCCAGTGATGAAAGCGTGTGTATTGGTTGTACCCTTATTGCACGGTTAATGGTATGGGACATTAATCACCAAGGTACAGATGTGGTCCTCGTGATGGCCATGAAATGATATTGGAGTTGTAAATTGGCTTTTAGGCTCATGATCTGTGTTTCAGGCTCATGTGATTGGTGGTTGTGTGATTGAAATGATCGGTACCCTCGTGTACTGCGAGATCGGTGGTTGTTGATTTGGTGTTGTAGGTGGGGAACGACGGTTCCCGGAGGCATAAGGTTGTACTCAGAAGTACAGGGGTTCTCGGAGGTAATGGTTGGAACGGTAATAAGGTCGGGGGTAGGCATAAGGTTGGAACATGGTGTAAGGTTGGAACTTGTGACATGAAGTGTCACTGTGGCACGTAGTGCCAATGTGTGAATGTCTATCCTTTTCTGATGAGCATGTCGAGTGGTATTCTACTTTGTGATATGTAGAATACACCTCGAGTTGTACTTGTTTATTGTGGTTGTCTTTGCCTTGATGTTTTTTGCTTTGTGATCAGTAGATTACATCTTGAGCTGTGTTGAGTTGTACTGTTGTTGTTCTTGTCTTAATGTTGTCTTGGGATATTGATTTCCCTTGTTCTTTTGAGAGTGAAATAGAGTCTTTGCAGTTGACTTCTCTCTTTACGGTTTGAACTGTTATATATTGTATTCCGTTTCGAAAATGGTTTTGTATTATACTATCTATGTATGCTATTGAACGCGTATTGATGTGTTACCAGTAATATTCGCTGACCGGGCATCATCCCCTTTCTTTATGTTCTTTACAGGTCCTGAGTAGACATGGCGAGAGTGTTAGCCGTTGGTAGTTTAGCTCCCTTGAACAATGTAGTTCGTGTTTTGGCCTGTGTGGCACAGTTGTTGAACAAAATTGTTTGATGGTTTTAGACTTGCCTGTGCATTCACGTTGAGGTGAATGTGGCATAACACTCCTTGGTTTTCCCTGTTTTTATATTAGACTTTCGCTGTGCTTACGTTTTATGAATTATGTTAGCTACCTTACCTTACGTATTTAAGTTTTAAAATAGCATGAAAATTGGGGGTGTTACAGTTGGTATCAGAGCCTAGGTTTGAGCCAAGGATGTTAAGAGTTGGACTTTAAGAACCTAAGTTGAGCTTAGGTTAGTGCTTGTAGGTTGAGACCTTAAGTTGCTTAGTGAAGCCTCTAAGTGTTTAAGTACCTAAGTATAGGATTCTTAGGACCCGCGGTGAGGTTGTGAGTTATCTTTTGTTATCTGTTTAGTTCTTTTATCTTGTTCTGTTGTTAGCTCTAGTAGTTTTGGTTGTTGCTCTCGTTTGGTGTGAACCTTTTCGGTTTGTTGCCTCGTTCTGGTTTCGTTGAAGTGTTGACAAAGACGGTGGCTAAGAGAATGAAGACTCGAAGGTCTGCTGATGCAAGGTAGTCAAGTCCTGGTGTTTTCATCTGGATATGTGGCCAACCTAAAGATTAAAGACTACTCTACTCGCAACCTGGAGTCAGCTACATCAATTCTCGTTCGAGCAAGTGGCATCGACTCTCGTACGACAACGTCATCAGCTCTACGTCAATCTCTAGAGTTGAAGTCTATGTTTCGTGCAGCTGAAGTTCGAAGATCAAGACTTGAAGACCCTCACTCACGAGGGGGAGTCAAGAGCGGTCGCAGACGCTCTAAGAAGCCTGTGGGTCAACATGATAGAAGCCTTCAAAGTTGAAGAGCTAAGAGTCAACCTTGAACCTTTCTAAAGCACGAAGAGTTAAAGTGTAAGTTTGAGGCGTTCAACATGGAAGTAGTTCTACCTACCCTTGAAGAAACCAAGATTGGGCAAGTTCGAGGCCTTCAGCTCGGAAGTAATAAAGATCAAGATGGCTATACGGGAAAAGCTTGGACCTTTAAGGTACATGGAAGGGAAGAACATCGTTGTTGGCAAGTCGCCTGACCCTATGAAACGTGAAGAGGTTAAGTAGTAGTTGGTAAATGAGGGTATCTTTTATCCTAGTCGGCACACCCGGGAAATTATGGATATCATGAAGACCTTTGGTTAGGAGGTTCGGCAACAAGAAGGAAAGAAGACGAAACCGAGTTGCAATCAATCACTGGGGCCGTCAAAAGACTCAAACCGACAAGAGCAAATCAAAAGACGGATTTGATGACCAAGTGTTCCTAAGTTGCAAGTGAGACTCTGTGCCGATGATTCCTGGTAAGAGATCTACCTAAAACCAGGAAGGAACGAAAAGTAGCTAATCTTGTGTGGGAGGACTGAACAGTAAAGGGAAGGACAGTCAGGAATGAACTTAAGGACCAGTTCTACTGTTGAGCTTTCATAAGTGAGATAGGTTCGTGCGGCAACAAAGTTTTCAGGGAAGCCATACCGTTAAACAAGACAAGGGAAGACAAAGTTGGTTTGTAGCCGAATACTTTCTCTATAGGACCACCGTACTACCTTTGACTCGTTACCCCCGCAATGATTTCTAAGCTTCGGGGACGAAGTTTCTCGTAAGGGGAGGAGAGTGTAACACCCCGTGTTACGGCCTTCAATCCCGGATTAATTATTTAATTAATCCCGTTAATAATAATTAAATATGATTTAATTCGGTTAGGTTTCTCTTTAATTAATTAATGAGGTCCACCATGAACCGTGGACCCTTGCCTAAATGAGAGTCTTAGGCCTATTAGGAATAAAGGAAGTAGGCCTTTTACTATTCAGATTATGATTAGGATTCTCTTTAATTAATTAATATGGTCCACTATGGACCATGGACCCTTATCCCTAAAAAAAGTCCTTAGTCCTATAAGGAATAGAATTAGTAAACCCATACCATTCAGGCCCTAATTAGGAGTATTAAATATATAAATAGGGATATAGAAGGCACCTAGATCCCCCATCACAATAAAACGTCTCACCACCCAAAGAGCTCCAAGAATTCCCTTAGAAGAAATCAAGAAAGCAAGAAAGCTTAAAGAAAGACCCTTCATAGCCAAGGAATTAATTAAGGCTAAGAGGTAGCCCATGTCTCAACAAAACCAATTTTCATAGCAATGAATCCCCTCTTAGGATTTCCCTATATTATTGTGTATTGATGATTTGTGATATTATTATTGATGTTTGGTGGGATGATTCCATGGGTGATCTTGATGATGAAAGGTTCTTGACAATTATGGTGTTCTCGAGGATTATATGATGTTCTTGATGATTGTAGGATGTTCTTGATGTTTATGTGATATTCTTACCGAATCTTGATATTCGAAGATGAATTGTGTCCTTGTTGATTTGAAAATGATTAGAACCCTAGGTTGTATCGTATGAAATTATTCCTGGTATATTGGGTGGGAATTCGCATGATCGGGTGTTTATTATGTTTAGAAAAGAATGGTAGGTTATGTGCCGTTTGTTTCCTGATTTTGATCCGTTAATTGTCTACGTGTGTTATCAATTGCGTTTGAAAGTGTCTAAGCATGGTTTCGGGTTCCACAAAGGTTCCCGTGGCGTTATTGATGAAAAAGAGTCAGTGGGGGGTAGGGGACCCGCCACCTACCCGCGGCCAAGTTGGGCAACGTCGGCAGCGGGCAGTCGGCGGGCGGGCAGTTGCCCGCCGGGCACCCGCTGCCCGGAACACTAGAATGCCGGCGGGCAGCCGGCGGGTGACCCCCACCCACCGGCTACCCGCTGGTTTGTACCCCACTTTGGGATCCCGGCTTCCCCGTTTGATGTTCCCCCGACCCTCGTGGTGTCCCAACAGACTCCGTCTATCGTGCCTATGTCTAGTTTGATGTTTCGGCTACCGTTCGTAGGTTGTATGAGTCTTGTATATTGCATGCTAGTTGAATTGGTATCCCGTTGACCTAGGTGAAAGAAGTATGAACCCCTTAGGATTATTCTTAGTATGTGAAGGATCACGCATAGGTTTTGTTACACGTTTTCTCCCCCTTCCCAATGTGTTAATGTGGTTGCATGTACTTGCTATGTGTTATGTGTGCATGTTACCCCGATTTGGTTGAGATCAATCGGGCTATACGGGCAGTCGGATGGGCTGAGAACCATACCGGCTGTTATCCAGGCTGGTAAAGACCGGTCAGGTATATAAATATTATATAGGACTGAGGTCCACTATACGGGCAGTTGAATGGGTTGAGAACCATCCCAACTGTTAACCAGGCTGGTAGAGACCGGTCAGGTATATAAATATTATATAGGACAAAGGTCCACTATACGGGCAGTTGAATGGGTTGAGAACCATCCCAACTGTTAACCAGGCTGGTAAAGACTGGTCAGGTATATAAATATTATATAGAGCTGCGATTCATCGGTCGGTTGCGATCGACCCCTCCGTATTGTGAGACGGGGCAGGGTGCTGCGGGGCTGTGTCAGAGCTATATGCGCTAACCCTCATATATGGGCATGCGATTGGTCCTGTGGCGTCAACAAAGTGTGCTATGTGATGAGATGAGAAGAATTTATGATATGACTGTTATGGAAACGTGACCATAGGGCTCTTGCTAGTAATGCTTAATTGTGATTATTGGTTGTGCTTATCTATAACTGTGCCCTATGTGAGAATTGTATATGCTTGATTATGACTGTTGATTGTGTGTACCCCTATTTGTCGAGTCGGTTCCCTGATTTGAAAGGTAGAGTCTCTTAGGATATATCTTCATGCTTCGAAATGACTTTTCGTATATCTATGTATATAACTATATGTATTGTATTTCAACACGTTGGAGTGGGTTACCAGCATCTCTCGCAGAACAGATATATTTCGCTTTCAGGCACAGAAGAATAAGTCACTGGATCGCGCTAGAACTTGGAGCGTAGAAGTAGATAGTTTCCCTTTCGGCCTGCGTGCCATGCTTATGCATTTACACTATTGAGGATATTAGTTAGTTAGCCTGTGCACCTGAGTTCTCTAGCTCAGGTGTGGCATAGCACCCCGTACTCTTGTATTACGTTTTGGGATTTAATGAGATTTCACCTTTATTTTTATAAGTTTTAAAAGTCTCGAAAATCTGGGGTGTTACAGTTGGTATCAGAGCCTAAGTTTGACCCTAGGATAAGACTCTTAATACCGGACTTTAGGACATTAGGCTTGAACTCTAGGTATTAAGGAACATAGGATTCAGGAATCTTAGGACGCGCGGTGAGATTGTGAAACCTACACATAACCTCCCCTCACTTTATCCCTCTCTAAAAGAACTCCCCCTACGCTTACCACACCAAGGTAAGGGTCCAGCACACTGACTCGTCATTACAATAAATATTGACCCTAAAAACCAGCAGCATGGCGCCAATAAGAAGACAGTCAAGGATCCCACACTCCTCGAAGAATGAATCCGAACCTTCAACAAAATCCCCGGGTTAGGCGAATGCCCAGAGGAACGCCACCAAGAGATAGCCTCGTTCTACTTCAAGACACGAGGTTGATCTTTGATAAGTCCACAAAGAACTTATGGGCAACAACCGGGGGTTCAACTAAAAGTACCTAGGGGCACGGCTACAAGGACGACTCCACCCCGCACCCGCCATACTCATGGACCTCATGAACCGAGTATTCCGACCCCACCTTGATGACTTCGTCATTGTATTCATTGACGACATCCTAGGCTACTCCCGAAACAAGGAAGGACATGAAAGGCACCTCCGCATAACCTTACAAACTCTAAGAGAGCACCAGCTATATGCTAAGTTCTCCAAATGCGAATTCTGGAAAGACAGCGTGACCTTCCTGGGCCACGTAATAACCAAAGAAGGAATTAAGGTGGACCCCACCAAAGCCCAGGTCGTTAATGAATGGTCCACACCAAACTCACTTTCAGAGGTCCGAAGCTTCCTGGGCTTAGCTGGCTACTACAGGAGGTTTGTACCCGACTTTACCAAGATAGCCCAACCTCTCATTAACTCATGAAAAAGGAGACCCCTTTCCGATGGGACGACAACTGCGTCGCAGCCTTTCAGGAATTGAAGGATAAGTTAACCACGGCACCCGTACTAGCCATCCCCTCCGGGGTGGAAGGGTTCGAGGTCTTCAGTGACGCGTCCAAAAAGGGGTTGGGGTGCGTGCTAATGCAAAAAGGCAAGGTAATAGCATACGCATCTAGGCAACTCAAAACCCACGAAGAAAATACCCCACCCACGACCTCGAGCTAGCCGCCATCGTATTCGCACTGAAAATTTGGAGGCATTACCTATACGGTGTGCAATGTAAGATTTACACAGACGCATAGAAAGTATCATACAACTAGAACCTCCCGGCAATAAGGGCCTTACCTTGGAACAAGGACCTTGATGGTTATAAGGCACTGTAAGAAGTACATGTAACACACAATATCGCCAAAACATCATGCGACGTCAAAGGGCAGTCAATCAATTGCATTCCAAGGAAGAGAAACGCATCACCAAGCACTTGGTCACCAATGGATTGAACAAAGAACGAGCGATAAGCCTAACTCCAAGAAAAACCAAGAAGGCTTGTCATCAATCAAGCAAGGAAAAGACAAAGTTGGCTTATAACCAACTTCCCGGTGAAGGTGACGAGGTTGCTAATTGGAAACCGGACCCGACCTACTGAACGGAAAGAACATGCGAGAGTCTTGACTCATCTATAACTCGTACTTAAGGATCAATAGAACTATACGATGGGTCATCCTATGTATTCAAGTACCTTTTTATTGTGCACATGGGCATGGGGCTTGTCGGGACTTGAATCAGTGCATTCTTGGGATTTTTCCTGAAGAAATTCACTCTTCCTAGTCACCTTCCCGCGGGTCCCCAACGGGACCTTGATGGGACCCTAACGGGTCCTGGACGGGACCTTGACGGGTCCCTGACAGGAGCTTGGCAGGCGTACGACCGCCCACCTCGCGCCCACTGGTACAATGTGCTGATTTCTTAACCCCTCGTTTTATTGATTCGTGGCGCACTTGTGTGCCTCGATTGATGAACGCGAGTCTTGGGTAAGGAACCATGGGTCGCCCAAACATGGTGTCATCGGTAAAAGACCTTGACACGCAAGACACCGTCGGAAAAGCAATACCAATTGCATTACACGTGGAGTTGAAGTTGGATTCTACGATGCAACTGACTAGGGATGATTGGCATAAAGGATTGTGCAGACCAAGGAGACGAGTTGGGAACTCGTGCTAAGGACTCACAAAGGCCGTAAAAGTCAAAATTCTAAGGATGGATCGGGACTCCTCCAAACCGTGGATATCCTTCAAGCAAATCAGAGGACTCCTTACAGGTTGTATGGAATCAAGAACGACATAGCCCGTGGTGCTAGGCAAAAAGTAAAGAGCACATTTGTGCCAAGATCTCAAGGGTCATTAAGGACCCACAAGAAAATGAGATGACTCGTAAACTCACCGAGTCATTCCACAACGAGATTAGGTAACCAACTGCGCTTCAAGAAGAAAAAGAGCATGCAAGAACACCTTCATCATTAAAAGTAACACAAAAGGGCACAACAAGCCGAACCTCGGAGAAGAAATGAAGTCTTACTAAGAATTTCACTCACTAAAGAAGAGATGAAATTCAATAAGAAAAAGTCAACCCAAAGCTTATCGACTCCCAAGAGACTTTGGGAAGAATTTGGGAAGTGCGCCCTAAGAGATCGGTTTGTTTGACCAAACTTGGTCAAGACCTTGGACGCATTAACGAAGTAAGTGTTAAATCATCACGGGAGATTCCCTCAAGATAGGAGAGACGGATGAAACTTTAGCCTGGGAAGCAAGGTCTAACAAGGACCTTAAAGTCAAGCAAGTGCCAACACCAAGGAAGAAGGATCATCAGTTCGTCAATACGTCTGGATCGAAGCATCAAACCAAAATAGTCATTTAAAATCGAGAACCCTTAACCCATCCTAGCCGAATTCCTTTCCCTCCCTCGGGAAATCGGCCCCCTCCTTATTTCAAAACCCTTTCTACCCTTCAAAGCACATTCTTGATTTCCTATTTTAACAATTCCATACAAGGTGGCAACCTCACACCCTAAGTTGCAACCTTGAAAACTTTGATCCTAATTCCTAAATTCACATTGTCCTTAGGTTTGAAACCCACTCTCTTAGCCCTTTAAGCCTAATCGTTCCCAAAAACCCAGCACACATAGACATACAATTATACAGTTTCCCCGAATAATACTTTCTCTATAGGACCACCGTACTACCTTTGACTCGTTACCCCCGCAATGATTTCTAAGCTTCGGGGACGAAGCTTCTCGTAAGGGGGGAGAGTGTAACACCCCGTGTTACGGCCTTCAATCCCGGATTAATTATTTAATTAATCCCGTTAATAATAATTAAATATGATTTAATTCGGTTAGGTTTCCCTTTAATTAATTAATGAGGTCCACCATGAACCGTGGACCCTTGCCTAAATGAGAGTCTTAGGCCTATTAGGAATAATGGAAGTAGGCCTTTTACTATTCAGATTATGATTAGGATTCTCTTTAATTAATTAATATGGTCCACTATGGACCATGGACCCTTATCCCTAAAACAAGTCCTTAGTCCTATAAGGAATAGAATTAGTAAACCCATACCATTCAGGCCATAATTAGGAGTCTTAAATATATAAATAGGGATATAGAAGGCACCTAGATCCCCCACCACAATAAAACGTCTCACCACCCAAAGAGCTCCAAGAATTCCCTTAGAAGAAATCAAGAAAGCAAGAAAGCTTAAAGAAAGACCCTTCATAGCCAAGGAATTAATTAAGGCTAAGAGGTAACCCATGTCTCAACAAAACCTATTTTCATAGCTATGAATCCCCTCTTAGGATTTACCCATATTATTGTGTATTGATGATTTGTGATATTATTATTGATGATTGGTGGGATGATTCCATGGGTGATCTTGATGATGAAAGGTTCTTGACAATTATGGTGTTCTTGAGGATTATATGATGATCTTGATGATTGT